ACCGCTTGAGGCTTAAACAGTTTGTTCCTCATCCTGACCATGAGATTTTCAAATACATTAGCGGCCAATGCAAACTCAATTCTAGACATGCCAAATGAGTAAAATTTCTTCAATTGTTTTCCTTTTTCTTGAAAGAAAAGGACTAGCCACTTCATATAATTTTATGATGGTTTCTGTCGATGACACTTATCTATGGGTAAAAGTCTTCAAAAAATCTACTAATCACAAAGCCTGTGTGAAAAAAGTTTCATCTAATTAAGAAAGGAGAAAAAACGTTCTATAAGATTGCTGCCCACAACATTCCGGGCCGCTCTATCATTGTTTGAATTTTGGTTGTCTGAATCACATTGAATGGAATGCTTTTGCATCATATGCCCAAAAATAAAGCGATACATTACTGCCTTTTGTGTTGTCTATTCAAAAGGAGATTGTCTCTGTTATGATCCAAAGTTGGAATCTGTGCACCTATGCCATTGTATCAGTTTTTTAATGTAGGTTCTAGTACTTTTTTTAGCTCAAGTACCCACGTATGCTCGTATGATTATTCCGTCCACATGCACTGATTAGACACAAACCATTGTCTTTTGTAATGTAACGTGAAACTCCATCTGAGATTGATAAGCCACATCTTTCTAAAGAATTGTCTATCAAAAAGGGTATTGGTGCACGACAAATCTCAGTGGAAAAAAGTCTTCTTCAAAATTTATTTTTTTGGTCCTTCAAATTTAAAAGCCAATATGCTGCCAGCATAAATTTTGGTTCAATCTCCAGATGTTTCATTCCAGTCACAAAGCATCTATTGTGGCATACAAAATTCGGATATTCTTATCTCAGAGCAAGACTTACCGGTTTTGGGAGTGTTCAGATTCGGTTCAATTGCAATTTTTCGATTCTTACCGCTAAGAATAATACATATAGATGCCCACTGAGATTATCTATGTGCAGCAATATGATTTTTGAGGCTGCATCAGCCTATAATTTAAGGGGATGATGGAGATCCACTTTCTAATAGTTTCTTCTCTATGTACTAAATGAGGAGTAAAAGTATCTTAATTTGCGTAATTACACAACTAAACTAATCTTAATCGAACTAAATTTAAGGCATGTCAATTGCAATTTGCAAACACAACGTGATACAAGAGACTCGAATTCATCATGATGTGGACAAGATACATACATACATACATACATACATACACATATATATATATATATATATATATATATATTTAACAACGTGACCTCTACGACAATTAAACTTAAATTTATTTTCTCCTCACAAAAAAAAAAATCCTCCAAATGATATCCCATGACACATTTACCTTAAACTAATTTTCATCTCACAAAAACACGCCAATTAACATCCCTGACCCAAGTCTACCCTCTATTACCATTTTGTCCAATATACTGTTCAAAGGCATACATGGAAGACAACTATAATACAAATCCGACGTAAAGAAACATAAATTCGACGTGAAAAATTCACGTGTGTTTGCCTGAATGCATTTAAATAGAAGGTAGATTTGGGTCACGGGTACCGGATTGAAATTTTCTGTGAGATGAAGATTAGTTTGAGGTAAATGTGTTATAGAGTATCATTTTAAAATTTTTTGTGATACAAAAATTAGTTTATGGTAAATGTGTCATAACAGTATCGGTTTGAGATCATTTACGAGATAAAAATTAGTTTGTGAATAAACGTGTCACGGTACTGTTAGTTTGGAATTTTTAACGGTATTGGCCGTAAAATTAACATGATTTTATGTGTTCAAATACTTCTTTTATTGAGTCAAATCATCATCATGTCAGACAAAATTCAAGCTACTTCAGCTGTGAAACGGAAATAAGCACGTCTTTGCCACTGCTTTCTCAGGTCTACAATGTGTAAAGTTGACCATCTAGTCTAATTTATGCTTTTGTCTCCATCTTTTCAATTAAGCATTAACCACTTACTTTGCCCTTTATGCCCGTAAATGTTAATAGTCGCCCTTAAGACTTTGACAAAAGAAGAAGAGGATCTCTTCTTTGGGACCTTTTCAAGGCTTCAAAGCGCGTGGGGTCGAGTTGCATTTTGCCCCTCAATGAATGGTCTCGATCTCATTTTAACCGCTGAATGATATTTCTTGTATCACTCTGAACCCCAGGACTTGATGTCAGTGTCGCCTAAACCTAAAAACTCCACCTAGTGTCAATTTAATCCAAATTGTGAGCAGTTTTTTTGCAGGTTTTGAGGACATTGGTTATAGAAATATGTACTTCCCGGGCAAAGAGAAATATTGCTAGAACCCGATCTCCAGTGGACCAGGTGAATCTCGATAGTTAGTAATGTTGGTCCTATTCGGGGAACATGACGTTGATTTTTATGGTCCATGATGGATTAGTCTAAGTAATGGTTTCGAGACCTGACGTGCTCAGGAGTAAAGAAGATTAAATATGCTAGGCAAAATTTATCGTTGGGCAAGCTGAACCCAAGAAGGGTTGGTTTTTATAGATCATTTCCATATTACCTTTCGAGTCGATCAAATCAGGTGGGTTCATTGAATTGCCAAATCCATGATCGCTTGTGTAAGAGAGAAACTAGATGGCTCTTTTTTGCGTCAAAAAGGAGGATGAAGAAAACAAAAACAAGTTGTGCTTTTGACGGCTTGGATCATAATAGGACTCATCATATGAAATTTAGGGTATAAAAAGATAGAAAGTGATCCAAGAGGGTGCAAAATGAAAAAGAAAAAGAAAAAGATCGGATTGAGGGTTGCAAAATGGAAACTTCCCTATTGAAATGAGAACCAAGTCGAAAGAGGTTTAAGATACAATTAATGACAATGGTTTCCTTCCCAAAACTTCTCTGAATTCTATCTTCTTTATTTTCCTTTTCCTTTCTTGTGCATGCAACGCCACCGATCTTTCCTTCCTTTGTGAACCTGAGCCCGAGCACTAGTGACTTGAGTATTCGGGCATGGCTATTGAGGACCTGGGCATGGGAGTGGAGTACCCAAGTATTGCAGCTAAGGATCTCAGCACAAGCACCGAAATCCCAGGTTCGACCTCTAGGGACATGGGCTCGAGCTCAAGTTCTAGTAACTTGGGTGCAGGAGCCGAGCATATGGGTACGAGCACCGAGTTCTATAGTTTGGTCTTTTTGGACCCAGGTCGGGCTACCGAGGAACTGGGTCGGCCTCTTGACTCGGGCCCGGCCACCAAGGACCCAGGACACATGCATCGGGGCTCTTGTGCCCAGGCATCGATATCCGGTCGTAATTTGAGAAGGGCTTTTTGATCTTTTATAGAAAAAAACTACTTTCCTAAATTTAAACATAAGTTTTTCATTAATTATGAAAAGTTCTTCACTAACTCGTTTTTCTAAGTAATCCAAATATTGGAAAATGGGGAAAATGTTATCCGACATAAAACTTTCTGCTAAACAAATTGAAAATCGAGGAAAAAAAGAGCTTCTTCAAGAAAGTTCCGATCACGTTAACGGAGTGCTTTTGCATTATATGCTCAAAATGAACGAATACATCACTGCCATCTGTGTTGCCTCCTCAAATAGGATCCATAGTTGGGGAATCTGTGTACCTTTGCCTTCGCATTAAATTTTTTTCTAACGTATTGGTGCACGACCAATCTTTGCTATAAAAGGGTCCTGTTTGAATTGAAAATCCAATATGCTTCGAGCATAAATCTTGGTTCCATCTTTACATGGTCATTCCGTTCACAAAAAGCAAGGCTTGTCTAAGCTTTAGCTGTGATGCAGCAGTATAAGCATGTCTTTGGCATATGCTTTGTCAGGTCTTCTTATGTGTAAAGTTTTGTGTTTTTTTTTTCTAATGTGTAAAGTTGACCATCTCGTTTTTATTTAATCTTTTGTCTCCTCCTCTTTAATTAAGCATTAGTCATTTTCTTTGCCCTTCCTCTATGTATTTTTTTTGTTTATAACCGGAATGGCAAACTCGCCCCGTGAACTTTGACATTTGAACCCTTGAGTTATATTCTTGGATTACTCAAAACCCCCAGAAACTTGATCTTTTTTTCTTTTTTTTTTTTTGATAACCCAGGAACCCCCCGCACGGCCGACAGCCGGAGGGGTAAACCTGGGGTGACGCTAGCGCAGGACCCACCACCACGGCGCCACACTTAAGAATCCCTAACGACTACGCTGGGGTTCGAACTCTGATCCCTTCGTGGGGGGACTAGAGCGCAAGCCAACGCAGCCGCTGCGGGCGGTGGTAATAGAAACTTGATCTTGCTTCACCCCTAAACCTAAGAACTCCAGCTTGTGTCAATCTGATCCAAATTTGTCATCATTTTTTTTTTGCAGTTTTTTGAGGACATTAGTTATAGAAATATTAATCTCCCGGGCGAAAAGAATTATTACTAGAGCCCGATCTCCAATGGAATAGGTGAATCTCGGTCATAAGTAATGATGTCCCCCGTTTGGAGCCTATAAGATTTAATGATTATATATTTTACGGTCCATGATGGATTGGTCTAAATAATGATTTCGACGCTTGACTTGCTTATGAGTGAAAAAGATCAAATATCATGCTCGAGCAAAAATTATTATGCTCGAGCAAACTGAACTAAAAAGGGTTAGCTTTTCTAGATCACACCGTTTTTACCCCTCGAGTAAATCTGGGGTGGTTTGGCCGAATCGCCAAATCCATGATCACTCGCGCGAGAGACAAGCTAGATAGATCCTGTTCACGTCAAAAAGATGACAGAAGAAAAAAAAAAGAGAAAAGCAAGTTACGTTTTCGGCGGTTTGGAGCATATACTAGGACTGATGCAATGGAAATTTGGGGGTGCAAAATGAGAGAAACTAATCCTTGGGGGTGCAAAATGAAAAATAAATTGGGGACTCGGGGAGCAAAATGAAAACTCCCGCAGTAACATAGGGAACCAAGTCGAAAGACGCTTCAGATACGATTAATGGTGATAGTTTTTCTATTTACGGAAAACCTCAATGAAATCGAATAATCCTAATAATATTGCCACTGTCTCTTCCGCCTCTCTCTCTCTCTCTCTCTCTCTCTCTCCCTCCCTCCCTCCTCCCTCGATGGTTGAAAAGGAGATGCTATTGCAGCTTCGTTAATCCGCCGCCCCCTCCTCCCTCTCGATCTCAGAAGTGGAAAAACGCAGGGTAGGGCGAGAAAAGGGGCCAAAGGGGCGAGCTTGAACGCGTTCCCGCGTGACCCACCAAGGTTTGTGGCTCCGATTCGTGTGGTTCGTTGTTGGGTCTTTGTTGGATTCGTGTTTGAATTCTTGTATGTACTCAAGTTTTGATTTTTTTTTTTCCTGGGGAGGGGTTGACTTGGATCCCTGCGTGGCCTGTTGGTAGTCCGTGTCGTAACTGCATTCTGAGAGGGAATTGTTTGTCCTGGTCCCGTGTTGCATAAGATCCGAACTTTGGCAGGGCTTAGTTTTTGTGATTGTTTAGATGGTTCAAACTTGTAAGGATGCTTTGTCGCTAGATCCTAGGTTTTGGTTTTTGTTAGGTTTGAGATGGTCTCTTTCGGTATTCATTTGGGGTGCAGGACTTCATTGTGGGGATTTGATGTGAGTGGGAAATCACGCTTCAGTTTTGTGGATTCAGCAAAACCTGAAATATGTGGCAGCCTAAAGTTTGTTGCTTTAGTTTTGTGGAGTGAGCAAAACCGGAAATCCTTGTAAGAGTAGAGTTTGTTCTTGATGGAGCTTCGCGTGATGTTCTGATTTTGTCAGCATTTCTGTTTCTAATAAACACCGGATTTCTGTTTTGGACTTCTCGAGGTGTACTGTCAGTCTAATCAGCGGTTCTGTTTTAATGTCCTCTCTCTCAATTTTAATGTGGTTATGGGCATCGGAGTTGCTTTTGCCGTGCTTTAGTGCCGTAGTGTGAGCAGTCTAATAGAATGACAACTTTTGGCACCAATATAGGTGCTGGTGATTCATTGCTAGTTTCTGGGTGGTTGGGTGTTTTCATATGTAGAGCAGATTTCCAGTTGTTTACCATGGTTCTTTCCATCTCATCAAAATATTCCCACTTATGAGGGAGAGAGATTTTTTAGGGTTTTGCATTAGCTGATAAATCATTTTTTAAGGGTTTGAGCGGTTATTCTCTCAAAATGTCACTACGTCCTGTGATCTCTTTGTTGTGCAAGTTAGTAGTTTTAAATGTTAAACACACATGAATTGTACTTGTATGTAAATGTTGTATTGTGGCGTAATGTCTCGCGGGCTGACACAACCTCCAGTCCATGACAAATGCACATGCATGCACAATTGTGGTATCTTTGTGGCTTATGGAAGTTGTGACTCTCTAGTGAGATTATGATCTAATGAGCAATGAAATCTTTTTGATACTCGTATGATGTTTTTTTTTTTGGGACCATCTTGCCAATGCCTGTCATATGACAATTGGAATGAGCTACTTTGTATTGGAGGACTTCCGTGGATTTTTTGCCTGCCTGTAGAGAAGTTATTGAAGTTGAATTGAGCATCCATTTTACATGATAATCTTCTCTGATGTATTTCTTCATATTGGATCTTATTCTAACATACAATGACTGTAATCTTATCATCTTTTGATTATTTGAAACTCAACGTGTTGAAGTGTTGTATATGTGTTAAATTTATTCTTTTTACTCGTCTTGGCTCCACTTTTTAGTTTCAACATTATCTTGTTATATGCAGGGACAGTTTTATTTTGAGAGTGGATTAATTGTTCGTGTGACGTTTAGTTGGATCTATCTGGAAATTCATCCTATCTGAGGGAGAATGGCGGATGGAATTCCAAGTTTCTGGGGCCCAGTGACATCAACTAAAGAGTGTTGTGAGCAGAATTACGTCTACTCTTCTTATGTTGCAGAATTTTTCAACACAGTGTCGAACATTCCCTGCATTGTTTTGGCGCTGATTGGTCTGATAAATGCCCTAAGACAACGATTTGAGAAGAGATTCAGTGTCCTTCACATTTCGAATATGGTACTTGCTATGGGAAGCATGCTATATCATGCTACCCTGCAACGAGTGTAAGTACCTTTCTTAACCCTGCATTACTTTAAATGAATCTGTTGCTCATGAGAATCATTCCATGGTTAGGTATCGTGCATCATGTAGGAGATGAGATGTTAAAACCACCGAATTAGATTAACTGGTACCTCATAAATGAATCCAATACTTTTGCATTATAAACATCCAGGGCATAACTTTGGAGGGAATATGAGTTTCCTGACTAGCTTTTAAAGTGTGTATTCTTTTCCTGAGACCAAGGATGTCTCGCTTGTTGGATACTGTTTTACCCAGGCATTAGGCATGCGTTCAGCTTCCACAATCATTGCCCCCTACCTTGTGACTTCAGCAAAGTAACCTATATTCTGTCCCTATAACTTTGAAATGTTAAGGACAAAAGAAGTATCTGACACATTAAACAGCCAAGTTTTGACGAATGGAATCGCATTTACAACAGATCTTGGCTTGTGTCATATAGTTGGCTTTACTATAATTGCACTCATCATTCTTATGTAGACATTAGGATGAAGTGAGTGGTTTTGTTTGTTACCGGAGTCTTGGATGGCGCTGATTCTTTTATTTTGTTTGATAGGCTTGAACTATGTTGTGGCATGGGCATACTGCATGATTTATCATAGATTGGCTTGCATCCTGATAGCCTGTTAATGATATCTGTCTTCAATATGGTCAGATGACCGTCATTAGAAAATATTTTGTTGTGTAAGCTTAATAGATATGTGGATGCAATTTGTTAAATTTATCAGGCAACAACAAAGCGATGAAACTCCAATGGTATGGGAAATCTTACTGTATATGTACATCCTCCATTCTCCGGACTGGCACTATCGCAGTACGATGCCCACATTCCTCTTCCTCTACGGTGCTGTCTTTGCCATTGTACATTCATTCTTCAATTTTGGCATTGGCTTCAAGATTCACTATGTGGCCCTCTGTCTGCTGTGCATCCCCCGGACGTACAAGTATTATATATACACTGCTGATGCCTCAGCTAAACGACTTGCCAAGGTGTATGTTGCAACCCTTGTTCTCGGCAGTGTGTGCGGGCTGTGCGATCGCTTCTTTTGCAAGCAAATATCTTCTTGGCCCATCAATCCTCAGGGCCACGCGCTATGGCATGTCTTCATGGGTTTCAATTCATACTATGCAAATACGTTCTTGATGTTTTGCCGAGCCCAGCAACGGGATTGGTCACCAAAGGTGGTTTATTTCATGGGGATTTTGCCCTATGTGAAGATTGAGAAGCCTAAAGTCCAATGAGGTATGTCAGAGAGGATGATCGACTTTTATGTTTGCATAGATAGTTTGAGAGTTTTCAAAGGGAGGCGGGAGCAAGCGAGCAATTGCAAAGTTTACTTTTGCTCTTTTTGTTGGTATTCATTTGGTTACACTATGTCATCTACTGGCTTTTGCGCTTGAAAACGGGAAACGTGTACCATATTCAATTCGCCTTTCTCTTCGTAGGATGCAACAGCTCTGCTTGCAAACCAAGCATATATTTATGTAATAGCTGTGGATTCAAACTCTCATCTTCTTTTGTTGTTAGTGTGTTGTTAGTTTTGAGTCTTGGACTGCTTGTTGTTGCTGGAGAACAGTGGGGTTAATACTGAAGCAGTATATTGTTTTGGAGAACTACATAGGAGTACCTGCATTTAAGGGAAAGGAGTTTTTGTACTGGAATTTTGCAAGCTCTTGGTTGCCACTTCCTATTTCTTGCACTTGTATTCTGTTGAAGCAGGTGATGCCTGTATGCCGCGAATCACCATAAAAAGATTTAACACATGCGCAAGCAGACATACACCCTCGTACAGAGAGTGATTTGTGAGCTGAACGATCTGATGAATAAAGTATGGACATAGATATTTGTTCCAATGCCGAAGCAACATGAATCTTAGCTTGCGTTGATTCTGCTGTGTTCTAAACCCGAATGAGGCGAGGTTTGTTCGTCTATATTAAACATATGAAATATAAGTACGCGTAAGAGGGACGTAAAGGTATACTCGAGAGTATTCACGTGTGACAACAGTTGTCACTTCTCATTCCTTTCTGCAAGAATAGGCGCACCATCAGGATGCTCATCTTGGCACGATAGGAGAAGCCAACACAGAACAAAAGATACGAGAGCAAAGCATACCAAATTCCATTCCCATCTGATTCCCTCTTATCCAATAAGCAAAAGTAATCAATTAGGACTCCACCAGCCGTTGCAAGAGAAGAAAGAAGAACTGGAACAAGATCAGAATATATGATTCGCTGAGAGAAAAGGTTTAAGGGACATTCATCTTGGTGGGACACTTAAATCTTATCCCTTCCTAAACATAATCTCATTTAGTCTGATAATCGGGCATCTGATGTTTCTCAATAGTCACAATTTGGAAAAAGCGCCGGTAAGCACTGTCCCTCCAAAGGGGCCAAATAGAGTAACAGAGGACAAAAGAAGCAGACTAAGTTTCACAGACCGATATAGCCAATCAAGACTTCACCTACGCAATTGGTTAGCATACACTGTACAAAACATTCATCCAACAAAAAGCCTCCCTAGCAGTTGCGAATGCTGCAAATACTGACAGAAACGACAGCATATACAGTGTCCTTTTGTCACTGAGCTCCTGCGGGCATGCCATGCTCGGTGTCAATGGCTGACGATGAGTTAACTAAGAAAAGTCCTTGGATGCTGCAATGCTTACTTATGAGTGTGCAATCATCGTCTCGTTGATAATTTGCCCAAGCTTCATGAACAGGGCTTGCTGTTCCTCGAGAGTAAGGTTCATTAGAATCTGCAAGATATCAACAAGCAGAGACATTCTCAATGGAAAGTGAGTTTCAAAAGATATTATATATGTCGTCATACCTGCTCCAAGATCATCTCGACTGACAAGTTCTGAGGCACTACAAATGACTGATGGTAGATATATGCAAACACAGCCATCACCATCTGAAGTAGAGAAGCTGACTTAGTAAAGCAGAAGAGGCACGTAGCACGAAACCTATTTCTCAAACAATATGCACACTAGCCAACTGAAATGGTGAAACTAAGACAAATATACAACAGAGAACAAGAAAAACACTGATCCTGTGCAACTTCAAATGATACAAGAGAATGTTCTGAGTTAATTATTATGTCACCTGACAATCCATTCTATCGGTTATTCCACCATGTCCTGGAATACTGTCACCAAAATCCTGTAGCACAAAGGAGTAAAATGGAGTGTCAAGACCTCAGAATCTGAGTCAGACCAATTAGAATTGTTTTAAATTACAAACCTTGATCTTGAAAGCACGTTTGAAGCCGCTAGCGAAGAAGCCTCCAAAAGGTGCTATAATCGACGCGAATAGACCAAGACAGAGAGCATGCCATTGGACTGGCATTATTGCCACCTCTTTCCATGGAAACTGGTCATTAACAACAAACTAAGGCATTGAATCTAAACATTTTTTAAAAATAATGCCAACTCTCTTAGATCCCGTATCTCACGAATTTCCTTTAGGCAAACCAATTGCTCAAACAGCTCAAACATACAAGAGAGGACTAATCAGGCCAGATTTTAGAAGCTGCTGAGGAAACTCATTAACCAACTGAATCAACACTCAGAATTTGAGCAGGAAAAGACATTGTTCATTCCAAAAAATCAAAATCACAAAGGAAATCTCCAGTTCAAGAATCAACTTGTTACAAAAAGCAATAAAATTGAGAGCAATTGACTCACCCATTCAGGAAACAATCCGGATATAGAGTAATACTCTGGCCTGAAAAATGGTCCAGGATCACAGTGGAGCCAACCAGTAGATAAATCCTGCGATGATCCGGACGAGACATTGAAGACCTCAGATCATTCTGAAGCAGAACATGATTCAAATAAAAGTCTTAGTAATAACTACCTTCCTCGGACATGTTAGCCACTGGAAACGGCCCATAATACTCGCAAGCTGCATATACATGAGAACATACCATGATTACCACCATCAAACTGAATCTGGTCATAATTACCAGCAAAAAGACTATACACAAGCCAATATGGGACCAGTTACCCTCAAAGCATGAAAATCTCAAAAGGAGAAGTAAAACCTGTCCAGACAGGATCAAATGCACAAAACCTATCTCACAAAAACCAAAATAGACCTCACATCCTACCATGACACAAACAGTATTGTGAACCGCGTAAATTGAATAAAGGTCTACTTCCATCACCTCCAAGCAAAACAGAGGTAAGCATTTGGGTACTATTATGTGCACACATGCAAGCCAAAACAGCACAAGACATAGGTACAGTAAGATATCTTGACAACTCACCACAAATGCAGAGATCATAGTAGTAAAAGATGCTCCTATAAATCCCTCCCAAGTTTTCTTTGGAGACAACTTGATCAATGGGGTTCTTCCAAAAAAGAAGCCGAAGATATATGCGGCGATGTCATTGATCACAATAAGCGTTGCTGGAAGAAGAAACCTACAGGACCAATAACACTATTGCATCAATGACGTATAATTACTCATGCCATTGATTACCAAATAGGCAACTAGAAGCTGAAAGTTTATTCACAAAAGACTAACAGCTTCAAAGATACAATTGAAAACTTGTAGTGACAGATTACTCCACATAGCAAGGGTACTCGACAGATAAATCAAAACCTTTAGACTACTCCAACGATGTTAAACCACATGAAAAATGTGAATAAGGCATCAAATTCTCAAATGTCGGATGTTGGCTAAAAAAACTCTACAAGATCAGAAATGTCAAATATCCTTACATGGAAAACAAATCAACGGTGAATCCTAGCTAGTGATTTTTAAAAGTGAATATCGCAAATTTCTGCAAGATACCTATCGAATCCCTTCCTGATACAGTCGTAGGATATTTATCCACGCTTACTGAAAAGCTCCATCAAACTTATGTCCACTCTCTCCAAATTAAAAAGGAAGATGACCTTGAAAAATCATTCATAGCTGTGAGTAAACATAAAGGGTGCAAACAAGAGAAGGGGACAACAACATAGAGACACATAAGAAATCCTGAAGGCATCTTAAAGTATCATTTTTAATCAGAAGAAACCATAATGCCAAAAGTAGCTAGCTTTCGTTTTCATGGAACATTGATTGTGCAAAGCGAAGATTTCAACGGATGGAGGACCTATCAAGAAGAGGAATTGCATCTATCACTTTTATGATACTTCTTTTGACTATACAGAAGTACCACGCTGCAGCAATAATCCGTGACAAAGAAATGAGGGCAAAATAATTCTCTTAACCATGCACCTTGCAGAACTCAAAGAGAAAAACCTGAGAGCAAACACTTTGATCATTTCGTTTGATATGGACACTTCAATCATGAAGGACAGATAATAAAAAAAGAAAAAAGAAGAATACACGACAATTCCAGGCCCACAAGAATACGATATCAAACATAGGATAGGAAGTGGACATGACAAGCTCAGATGAGTAAGTCAAGTGAACTTAAATATAGGAGAAGTGCAGGGCTCAAGGATACGCATAATAACACTTTGGGCTCAGCATACAAATTTGACTTTGACATGCATCTTTACATGCTTTCAAATAGACGAAAGGATCAGAAAGATTTAACTTTCCTTTTCCAGATGTAGTGACTCACCAGAATATTCCCTCAAAGATGTTGGCAACAGTAAAAGCAGACTGAGTAAACACCACAATGAGAATCATGTGTGTCCAGGCATACTGGCCAAATTGATACTTGTACATCTTCTTCTTTAAAGTAACAATGAACCACACAAAGCCTGATTCAAGTCAACAAGGATTACCTATATCAGCAATTTTTCATAGTAAAAAGCTGCAGACAAGAACACCAGCCATTTGTACATCAATATTATCCATTTCCATGCTAGCATGTCCAATTTTTGTGCGCAATATGAAACTCCATCCTTGTGGCAACACCGGAAAAAAATGAGAATTCAATTACAGTTTTGATTGACATCTCAATCATTGAAGTCAATTTAAGAGGATTTACTCAGATTAACAGATGGAGTTAGCCTACTTAGAATGATTGTAATGTTTGCACATGCCTAAGGTTGTTGATCGGAGCGTGGCATTGATAAAATCAACATGGTTAAGGAAGTGTGGTTGAAAACCACCCTCATATTTACATTTAGTACCTTTGAATTGCCTTCCATTCTTCCCTAGCAAAATACTTTTCAAACTATGGACTTCGAAGAAAGAACGTAATTCACAATGACCAATCTCAATTTTCTTAATTAACAGTACACTACACATTGACATCATGCAGAACACGCCAATCAGACAGGCTACATCAGATCATCCACACAGGCATATATACAGTAAAGTACAGCCATCGCAACTGTTCAAGTTATTCTGAACATTTGATACGCACCTGCAATGTACAAGGCGTAACAGGCAATCATATGATACTTGACAAGTTTGCTGACAAGCTTATATAAAACCTTATCCGTTGTTACAGTGTTGACTAGTTGTTGACTGAGAATGCGTCCATATACAAATAACATCGCCGTGAAGAAAAAGTGCCTGAACAAAGACATGTTAATAAGAAATGGTTCCCATAATAAGCCTCACTAATGCTGATCACTTGCATAGTAACCCTAAAAATGAATCAGTACGTGTAGATTTAAATCTATGCAATACCAGTTCAACATCCTAATTCCTGGGAGACGTCTGTCTTCAGGGTCTCTCCTTAGTAGAGCGAAAAGTTCTTTTGCCATGAAAATTTGTATAACGACAATCATGGCAGTGATGTATAGGTGACCCATGTAAATAACTAACGCAAATCCCCCAATCATCCACACAGACGAGTGAGCCCTGATCAACATCGATCGGTACTTATTTTGATCGTTAACAAGCAAATGGGTTCCATTTGCTTTACTGGCTTCTTGAACAACCTGACAACATGAAAAAAAATGATCCCCCTATTAGACAGTGGCAGCATTCAAATGCAGCAACAGCTGATCAAGAAAGCATCTATTTACAAACCTCACTGGAACGCCTACGATGCCGAGCCCGAGGCGTTTGAGAACCGCTGTTCTGCATCGCTCTACTCTGTAATTATCACTCAATAGCAAATGCACATACTCTTGAAGTGATTGCGGCTGATTTCAACTAATGAGCTGCTAACGGATATACCAGTTAAACAAATGCAAATTACTTAAGACAGTTCATTCCAATAACACAATCAGATAGACAATAATATGTCAACAAGAACAATCGAAAGGAACAAATGCACAAGCTGAAGTATAAACCAAGAAAAACATATTCTCAGTCGGATTAACTTGTCTCCAACAACTAAAAATGTAACTTACTCCTTTTGAAAGCAACTCAGCTAATCACTTCTAGCATCTTCAGTCACTCACAATAATTCATCTGCTTCCAATTTCTCCCCATCTCGGGCGAGTACAGATTCCAACACAGTGCAACATTAGCTAAAGAACACACCGACCCAACATAACACGACAAAATCAAACGCGAATCCCACCAAAATCATGCTCTGAGACGCCAGAGAATATCAGAAGAACGAAACATCATGGAACAATAACAAACCAGACCCAACAAAGAAAATCAGGAGAAGAAACGAAAAGAAGCTCGATTTGCATCTAAATCACGGGCTCTCGAACATACCCAAGAACTCCGACCCAACAAAAACAATAACATACCCAAGAACCGCCATCAAAACAGCAACCATGAAAACAATTCACAACCCATGTAATCAAAAGTGTGAAGGAGTGATTATAACCTAGTTTCGCTTCAAGAACAAGAGATCCCACGGGAGGAGGGAGGGAGGGAGGGGAGAGAGAAGCCAGAGCGAATAATGGAGGGACAAGAAGCGACGCCAGAGAGAGGGAGAGAGAGGGAACGGAAGTGGGAATTTCCCTTTCGTCTCCCTTCGTTGCTAATTTTGTGGAGGAAAAGACCAAAAGAATCGAGAACGGTGCACGCAAAAGGAAGAAAAATTGTTCCTTTTTGCCTTTTTTCTTATTCTGCTGCAGTGAGAAGTGCTTGCAGAGAGAGGGGGAAGAGAGAGGGAGAGGAGACAGGGGCGGAACCTAACACGTGGCAGATAGAGAGGACGTCACACGTGGAGATCGTGCAATCTCAGGCTGGCTTGGAGTATTAAAATTGAAATTGAAAAAGGTAAAGATGGGTCAAGAACACAAAGTTCAAATGAATTTGAATTTGAGATTTATTTATGATGCGCTTGTTTCGCGAAAAATGAATAATTAATGATCGATTGTATTACTTATAAAAATGAATTAATTAAAAATATTATTATCGTTTTCGAAAATGTTTAAATATAAATTATTGTCGATAGTGAGAATAATTTTATTGATTAATTACTTCAAGCGATACCAACGATTTTTTTTGGGAAAATTTCTTCAAAATCACTCATTTTCCTCAAAATAAACGAAGCTTTAAAGTTTCCTTCAAGACTTTCCCCTTTATGAGTAGAATCTCATCCACGATGTGAACGAAAAGATTTGCGTGCATCGTGAAGTTAGTCGAACGGTATATTAGATAATTTATGTTTTTAGAAGAAAAGGCCCCGAATCGAACAATGGAGAAAGAATGGTGGCTACAAGTACGGAAAATTATACTTTGTAAGTACCTTATAATATTATAATACTTTGCAAAAAAAAAGTACCTCATAATAAAAAAAATTGACCTAGTATAATGAAACATTATCGAGCTTAAGCCTCATTGATCTTTCTCAAGCTTATATCCAACGGTATTATTATTCATAAAAAAAAGGGCCTTTAGGTTAGGAATGAGTCCCACATTCTTCTTGTTACGGATGACTTGAATTATATGTATACCTCGATTTCCGAAAATCTAAAGTTAATGTTATTAGGCTCAATTACATCTTCGTTACGGATATCCACGTAATCCGAACTAGCCGGTTTTGGGCGGTTCCTGATTCTAAAATTTTGAAATCGAGAATAATCGATATGATTCCTAATTTCAGGTGCGGAACCGAACTGCCCGAACCGGACCGGACCCTTATGTCTTTTTTTTTCCTTTTCTTTTAAAGAGTAAAGAAAAGGAAACGGTCAAAACCCTAAATCGGACCGGTCCAACCCGGGAATCGAAATGGGACTGACTTGTATGGTCCGATCTGGTTCTCAATTTTAGAGCGGAACCGTTCCAATCCGGGAATCGAACAGCACCACTATTCTTCATGGTCTATGAAGCGGGGATCAGTCCAGAAAACATCATATAACTAACACAAAGAAACTATGGCAACATGGACCCCCACATCTAATTAGACACGTTGCTATTAGGGTCGTGGCAACGAGCGTGACTCTTCTGGAAAATGTCGGTTTGGATGTTATCCGCCGCCTGACCTTTTTAGGATAAGATGCTGACTCTGTCTCTTCTCGTGTATGGTAGAGAAGCCTAGGGAAATTAAAGTCAATGCTAGTTCGAAGTTCATTATAGAGCTCTAATGATTGGAGTTAATTTCACTGTTCACTGACCTTAGTAAAAGAGCATAGCCTTAATTAGGTTAATTTGGCGATCCCGATACCTCAAGCAGCCGTGAACTTGTAGTGATAATCTGATGGCTTCAACCTAGTGTACAAAATAATGAATGAATGTTGTTGTTCAAAGAAATATGCTAAATAATAATTGGGAAGCTCTACGTATGCCTTATGTAATGAGTAAATTGTCGTGTGCCTTGCGCACGTGACAAGGCCATATATATTTACCGAAAAAGTTCATTGAAACCCGAATTTATTATAGCGTGCTTTGAGTATTCTTCATCATGCTGTGAGTGTTATTAAATGTACGATATTTATTAACTTTGAAGCGTGAAGAGAAAAGAAGAAGAAGAGAATTTGACATTTAATGATGGGTCGCGCTTTTTCCACTCCTAGTTTGGCTAAAACACTCGCCAATAAAAGTGTTATGACCATTTCACCCATTATGGGTCCCACATTTCAGCGTCATAATTGTTCCCTTGCTGTCTTTTTTTTTTGTTTTATTCTTTTGTGGGTCCCACTTTCCTTCGTCTTCATCATTCTCTTTTTCTCTCGACAATTATCTTTCTCTCTCTTGCGAATCCCACGTTTTACAAAAAAACGTGGCATCCTCTGGCGAAGTTGAGGCGGATGCTGAGCGTGAGAGTCGGAGAGAGGTAAGGTTGTGAGGTAGGCTCCGAGCGGCGATTTCTTGCCAAGGTAGTTATTATTGCACCTGAGTTCGCCTTTAGGATGACAGCGACATTGCAAGTGCATGAATAAAAAATGTGGGTGAAAAGAAGTCCAAAAAATGTGATGTCTAAAAAAACTAAGACAAAAAATAAGCTACTCACTTTTAATGGTTTGACCGATCTATATGGGATTTGAGGTTAAAAGCATGTCTCTTGAGCAGTTCCATGTGAAGTCTGTATGGTGTTGGTCTAAACTACCTACATGGAATGATCATGTATAGAAGACAATAAAGTAGGCCATTTGAAAATTAGAAAAAAAAATGCACGGAAACGAAACTGCATAGATATCCTACCAATTCATTTTTTAGAGAAAATGCCATCATAATCACCTCCATAAAAGCACATAACTCAATCCAATGATGTTCTCTCGATCTAATTGGTGGCTATGCAACATATGGAAGCCATTCTCTATTCCAAACCAACCCAATATAATACATAAGAAGGATCCAACCATACTTTGCACCGCCACCAAAAGATTTACCAACTAATATGCGAAAATGCACTTGGCGTGCCCGCTTGTTTTCCACTTTCTCAAGAACCGGAAACAAAATGGTAAAAGTTTCAATTAACCTATTAAAATGAGAAGAAAACTAAGGAAAAAATCCTTCATCCTTTACTAAGACCGAACCATAATTAGATCAATATTATGGGGAGATATCAAAATGTGCATCTTGAAATCATTCTGCCAAACATATTGCAAAAAGAAGAAGGTCAACGGAAACCAGTTTAGGGAAAATTTCAATGAAAGAATACTAAAAATCCACTCAAAAAATCAAATGCGTGCCCTATCTTAACTGGGTCAAAGAAATCCGTAAGTTCGATAGTTAGAAGTTAACGGGTTGATAAACATTTTTTCACTTGGTGAAAGTAAAATAGATCCCCAGAAGGAGAGAAAATCAGCAATGCCAATAGGCCTCACTAAAGATCCTCAAAAGCATAAACTTTAATCAGATTCAACACTAAACAAGAAATACATCAATACCAACTTTTCCCAAACAAAAAAAAAAGAGAGAGATGAAAGAAGAAAAATAATAAAAAAGCGCCTTCAATCTTCATTGACCAGAACTCATCATAAGGAAAATTACCACATTACTTAATGTTAACCAACACTCCAGATTTAATCAATTTATCCAACACCCACCATGAAAAATCGACGCAAAAACTATCTCAAACATAGAAAAAAAGAAAGTAAAAGGAGAGAGAAAGAGGGAAGGATGAAGATAAGGAAAGCGGGACCCGCAAAAGAAGAAAACTAAGAAAGAACACTACGAAAATGCAAAGGATGCTGAAAGGTGGGACCCACAATAGGTAAAATGGTCACAATACTTTATTTGGGAGTGTTTTAGCCAAACTAGGAGTGGGAAAAGTGCGGCCCTTAATGATTAATCACATAAATCACAATGATTAGTTATATATCAAGTCATTCGAGAAGTCGTTGGATTTTCTTAACATACAATGAGACAGTTTCATTAAAGAACGAGACAGTAATAACAAATAAAATAAAGGCATATTTAATGTTGAATGATTATCTACTTATTTCGATAAATTATAATTTATCGAAATAGAAAGAAGTAGTTAAAATGAAAGATGTTGTGAATTCAAAGGTTTAAGAGGAAATGTAATCACGTAGCAAGCATACTATATAAGAAAACAAATACCATCTAATTACCATTAAAAACATATAGAAATGTGTCTATTCACTCTTACTGTCTTGAGAAAAAATTTCTGCATTCATATCATCTAATAAAATGTTTGTCCAAGCTACTTCTGGAAATACGAAGCAAAATGTCTATTCGAACATACTATTTCGAAGAAAGGTGTGCATTTATGCAAATATTAAGAATACACTATTTCAGAAGCGCATGCGCCATCTAACATAATTTCGAAGAGACGTGTTTTTTCATGTGATTGTATGTAATTGTAAAGTAAATAGTACCTTGATTGGTGGGGCTGTTTGCCCTAGATTGGAGGAATAAGAAATTTATGAGAAGCATAACACAAATATAATTTAAACTACAATTCAATGCGACGAGATAGGCATTAAATAGAGGTGCCAGTTCAATAAAATAAACTATTTAAAAACACCTGGTACTCATTTAATGAAATAGACTGATGTCCAGCTATTATGCTTTTAACTTTCAACTCAATATTAGATGTTAGGGTTTCTATGTCTATGAATGGATGAATATTAGAGTTAATGACAAAGAGACTACTTGAAACAAATGTACTACAAAGTACCTTTAAATGAGAAGAGAACTCCGTTTGTTTTGCTGAAAATAAATAATTTGAAAACCATTTTCTTAAAAATGATCTTTTGTATTACTTGAAATAATTTATCAATGAAAAGTAATTTTATTATCAACAACAATATATGCCCAAACTTTTTCGTGAATGATGAAAATATTTTTCACTCATTTATTTTTGTGAGCGATATAAGCGATCTTCATTTTTCGCAAAATAAATGGAGCCTTAATGTACTCTTGAAGAAAATTTACCTTCTATGTTTCGTTTGCGGAAAAATATTTTTCCGGAAAACATTTTTCGCGTTTTCCGGTGTTCGGGGTGGGAAAACATTTTCCTTCCCCACCCCCAAATCCTTCATTGTTTTGAGGAAAATGATTTCCTATTTTTACAAAGAGAAATCATTTTCTCCCAAAGTGAAGGCAAAATTGCCCATGGGAGGAAAAATGTTTTCCGTGGGAGAGGAAGTTGATCGCCGGTCACCGCCGTTGGCGCCGCCCGTCGCAGTCGCCGGCCGCCGCTGCCACCGCCGCCGCCGGCGAAAAATATTTTCCGAAACTTTTTCATATTGGTCGCCGAACACCGGAAAATTATGTTCGGAAAACATTTTCCAGGAAAATGATCGGAAAATATTTCCAAAGGAGAATATTTTCCAAAAGTAAGTATACTATATATAGAAAAGAAGAATTAGCTTTTAATTAATAAAAAATAGAAGTAGCTTTTACTTTTTGTCAAAGCGGCATGATTTTCAACCACGTAAGGGAACCACTGATCTTACTATATAAGGTAACACTAATTTAAACTTGAAAATTAACCATCATAAGAAAATCAAAGAGTAACAATTATTATCAATACAATTAAAAACAAATTTTAGTACAATATACCAATACGTATGACAACCGAAAGCTGATATGTGCAAATTATGACCTCAACCCCACAATGCTAATCTGCCAATATTTAAACTTGATTGAATACATAATTAGTTGGCATCACTTTGGAATCGATGACAAAAATAGATATAAATCAGTAAATAAATAAATCTAGATTGTAACATAATAGCATATATTTTCAATATCATATGAGAGTAAAAATGTGCTTGGGTAATATAGAAAAGAATGAAAAAAAAGTCTAAAAATATGATTTTTTTTATGCTTTTGCATGAAAGCACGATAGGGTAAACGCACACCAAATGCAGGGTTCGCAGAATTTCGAAACAGTGAGTAGAACTTCTCCATGTCCTAGTTCGTGTGATGACGAATACGTGCATTGAAAATCATCTTGGAGAGAGAGAGAGAGAGAGAGAGAGAGAGAGAGGGAGAGCTTACTTCAAGCAGACCAACCGAAGGACGTCTTCTTCAGATGAGTGCATTGAAGAGAGAGAGAGAGAGTGCTTACTTCAAGCAGACCAACCCAAGGACGTCTTGTTCAGATGAGTGCATTGAAGCTTTTGCTGAATTATACAGTTCTTGGAGCACCAACTTCTTAATGAGAACATTGAAGTCTCTCACCTAACCCCCGGGAGAGAGACAGAGAGATAGAGAGACAGAGAGAGCTTAGTTCAACCAGAACAAGGACGTTTTCTTCAGATGAGTGCTTTGAAGTCACTTGACATTCTGGTTGTTGGAGTATTAACTTCGAAATGAGTGCATTGAAGTCTCTCACCCTACCTTAGTACCTTCTCCTTCTCAGTCCTTCGTCCGCTCCCTCAAGAAGCCCCCACGCCTTCCCTTTTCCACCTCTCCGCCTTCTGGCTCTCCTCACGCCTTCCCTTTTCCACCTCTCCCCCTTCTGGCTCTCCTCACGCCTTCCCTTTTCCACCTCTCCGCCTTCTCCCTCTCCTCACTTGGATCCCTCTCCTCCTCTTCCTCTTCCGCCTCGCGCTTCTCTTCTAGTCGCCACAGCGAGCGGAGCAGAGAGGACGACCACCGCAAGGCCAATCTTGTCAGGTTTCCCCTCAGTTCCTCCAGTGAGAAGCGCGGGTGGCTCCTCGATCCCGCCTCCGTCGGCATCCAAGGTCTCTGATTCTCGCTCTGGATTATAATTGCATGTGAATATCTGAGCCCCGTTGAGTTTGCTTGTTGTTGATTTGGTGTCCTTTTGGTTGAGGAGTTTATATGGAAATTTTACTCGATTCCGGCATCCAAGGTCTCTCTGTTTGTCCTCTCCCTAATTGTAAATTTCATTGTTTCTCTGTTCTTATGATATGATCTTGATTTTGATGTTTTTCATTTGTTCTTTTTCTGGGGGGTCTGGACTTGTTGGAGTTGGATTTTAAATCAGATCCGGTGATTAAATGAGAAGTGGGTGATCTCGATTTTGCTTGATCGAGCAATCCTTTTTGTTTTTCTTTGTTTTTGCTAGTGAAGGTAGAGAATTTTCAGTTCGTCCTTCTGTTTTTAGCTCAGAGCGAGAAGTTTCTGCATATTTAATCGAATGCTATGGCACTGCAATCATTACTGGTTTCTTGAATGCAAAATGGTTGGAGTTGAATCGAGTTCTTCGTAGCAATACTCGAAGTGTAGCTGGGACTTGGGGAGGGCATCACCATTGAGCATGTGTAAACTGTAATGCCTTGTGAAGCTCGAATTTGGGAGGTGGCTTTTGCTGTATCTGTATTTTGTTTTTCTACATTGTGCAGACTCTGGTGTATCTGCTGATGAATCTGTGGATTTTAGTGTTGGTTTACCAAGTCGAGAGTTGGTATCTTATGGCTGTTAATAGTTAGTGCAAAAGAAGTTGCAGTGTCAGTTTGTCAGGTCTTGTGCTTACTGTTGTAACCAATGAGCAGAATCTGTAATCAATCATCTGTAAAATGTTCTTAAGCAATGGCCAGGAGCAGGTTGTCGACACCTACCATCTAATCATGAAGGAACAGCGGAATGCGACAAGTACTGGAAACAGATTGAGACAGATAGATTGTCTAAGCTGGTTTTCTCTCCGACGGACAAGGAAAACGGTGACAGAAGAAAATTTGCTGTGGTTGCCAAAGACAGAATATTCGACAAGGTGACTTCCAGTGAAAACCCCAAGGAATTGTTTGATCCGATACTTCACCAGCCAAAGAATTCCGATGCGGTTGAGAACTTCGACTATGAGGCCATCCCATGACTGGTCGTGCGAGCTAGTGTGTCCAACAGTACGATCATAAGTTGAGAGCTGGTTTCTTATGGCCGTTAATTGTTAGTGCAAAAGAAGTTGCAGTGTCAGTTTGTTAGGTCTTGTGCTCACTGTTGTAAATAATGAGCGGAATCTGTAATCAATCATCTGTAAAATGTTCTTAAGCAATGTTCTAAGTATGGATTTCCATCTCATCTCTCTCCTGTGCCGATTCTTCTCTTTTCCATTTCTTTCGAAACTCTGCTTCATTAGTTCTGATTGCAATAATGCAATTTTAGCTAGTCTTTTTGGAGGCTAGGAAACTTGCATTCTCAATAACCAAAGAGCTGGGAAAGTAAGAACAGAATTCACTGCTCCAGGCACTGAATTCATATCCATTTCTCGTCCAAGCAACAAAGAGACAAAAATGTAGTCTGCAGGTAAAGTTTGCTTTATGATTCTGCTTTTATCAACTAAATCTGTACCTACTAATCTGAACTATTCCGTCTAGTTTACGGAAATAGAATCCATACTCTAGGCAGTTTCCTGGTGATACTCATTTGAGTGTAAATTTAGATTTGCTATTCTGCTACTTTGTACAGGGCAGCAGAGTCTGGACTCTATGGTGTGAGGTGTTCTTTAGTTTTCTTCAATGGCAAATATTTGGAAAAGAGAGAATGTATTGAACCAAAGAGATGAAAGATAAGCTGTTCAATAGTTTCCTTGTGATTTCTCCTCCACTACAAGGACTCGGCACAGCTTTCTCTGGTGATATCCTTTCGGGAAAAAGCACGGCCTGAAGAGAGGCCGAGCCGAGAGGTATGTTCATCTGCAGCAACTCAGTACTGTCTCAGTAATTTCATTGGATCAAACTCAGTTTCGATCTTATGAGAAGGTTGATGCACCACTGCCTTGTGTGCATCTTACACTTGTGAAAATCTGGATGTATATAAGTTGAGTGTGGCGCATCTGCTTGTCTTTTGAAGATATGAACGCTTGTTTTTGAATCTTTTATTCCCGGGTGGATGAGTCCGATTTTATATATACTGCTACTATCCTTCGCAGGGCAGTTTTCGTGAATACAACTATACACACGTTTCATAAGCCAAAAGGAAACGCACAACGTTTACCATAGTCTTTGCATACATTGCTTGATCGATAACAGGTGTGTCGAATCATTCTTGTGTAGCTGGATATTGTAAAAGCATGGACTAAAAAGGGCATTGTATTTAGTCAAGCGATGACAAATATGAAAGAGATCCTAGATCACCTACTCCGGAGCCAAAAACAAAGAGAGAATGCTACATATTTTACTAAAACAAAGAAAAAAGAAGAAGGAAACAACATAACAAAGACCATTCACGAACCCGTTCATTCTACTCTGGAGCGCATTGAGGGCTTGAATCACTAAGTTCTTGTCGGAGGCGGGCCAATTGATTGCGGTGAGAGTCCGCAATTGATTTTAGATACCGAAAAATAGTCAAACATGGATTGGTGAGGTTCTCGACGGCATTTTGAAAATCAAGTTTTAGTCCAATTTCTTTGGCCATGTAGCGATTAGTAAAGTGTCATTCAAAAGCGAGCCAAATCTCCTGAGATGTCCGAAGGCTATGAACTTCATGGAATATCTTATTGTGAGGATCGAATTGTTTAAACTCCAAAAAAATGACCTAGGTGAAATAGTGGGGATTGACCACAACAATACCATTGTGACAAGTTTCAGTGAACACAGAAAAGACCTATCCGCATAGCCACAACAGATCATTGTAGATTGAAATAGACTCGAATTGAGATTCTCACAGAAGAAAATTACTTGCTCCAATGTTCATCCTTTTCTTCGTTTGCTCCAATGTTCATATCGAAAAAAGCGGCTCAAATCATAGTTTCATAGACAACCAAACAACCAAATATCGAATCAATCTTCTCTAATCGGGATATCCTTAAAGCATAGGGATTGTATCAATTTAGCCAAGCGACAACAAATATGATAGAGATCCTAAATCACCTCCTCGAGAGCCAAAACAAGAGAGATGGCTACATTTGTTTTTATCAAAGCAAAGGAAGAAAGCTATATAAGAAAGGCGGCCATGGGAGAACCTGTGGATTCTTTATAACTGATGTCGTTCTTGTCTTTACACACACTACGCATTTCAATTACATCAACCTAACTTTGTTATTGTCGCCAAATTTGTCCAAAAGGCATCAACCTTGGACCACGTCACGGCCTAAACCATAAAACAAGAAATTCTCACGTAAATATGCTATATCCCAAGACGAGAACTTAACCTAATTAGCTGTCATATGATAATACTCCCATGCAAAAAGATAGAAAAGCACAAGAGCGAAACTCCTGCAAAGATAAGGATAGCACCCCCTTAATAAGAACGGACAGAAATAGATTATTACCAAGTCAACCAGCAGAGACCGAGATCGGCATCTCTTTCTCCGAAACCCTACATAATCCGCTTGAGAACACTTGAGTCGATCTGTTTCCCATTCAATCATTCATCGATTCATTACTATTCTTTATTCTTCCTTTAATTATTGGCGTCGTTCATTTGGAGAGGTGGATCCGAAGTCTGACCATGGGTTCAGTGCTGAGCACAAACAAGCCGAGGAGCAGGCATGCGAATTTTGAGAAGGCCAACCCCGACGACAATAACAGTTCGAATGCGGGACAGGAATGCTTAAGCGTGTTGAAGAGGAGAAAGACGAGGGGAAAGAAGAGGAGATACCAAGAGCAGCAATGTGAATCACCGCCACCAGATCAGAAGAAGATCACAACAATGGTCAAAAGTTTGACTTTGAGGGAATGGATTTTGTCTTCTCCTGGTAGAGAACCGGGATGCAGCTATGGAGGCGAGCCCTTTGTGTTCTCCCCACAGTTCAAGGGGGTGTATCCACCTTCTTTGGAGGTCGATGAAACTTCGATATCAATAACGGCTATGCCGTGTAAGGCCAGGGACAGTTTTTCGTTGGAGAGGCCACTGAAAATTAGTGGAGAAGATGATAGAGAAGAAGAACAAGAAGAAGGTGTGGTGTCTTCAGCATCTATTCGAAGGACTGAAAGTGGGAGGTCAACGAAGAAAGTAAGCTTCAGGTCGCCTGTGGAGGCTGATGTCATCATCTTTTATTCTCCAAGGGATGAGTACTGAATTTGCTGATGACAATGATGATCATGGAGAGTATGACTAAAAAAAATGATGATCATGGAGAGTTGAATCAAAGATTAATGACCGAAGCAGACGACAAAATCATGTCTTGTGAAATTACATAAAAACTCATTTCCTATCAATGAGATGCGGTGAACAGAATAAATTACTTTACGGGAATTTTTCTTTTTGTGATTGGTTTGATTAACTAGAATGAGCATGGACAACATCTTGATATCCTATGTCGAATGCCTCATATTAGGACTGATCTAATGTGCAACACTGCAATTTTTTTATACATAATTTCTTTTGTATTGTCCTCTTATGAAAAAAAAAAAAAAAAGCAGTGCTTTCGAAATTTAATGGGAGTTTAATTTGACTTTAAACATTTAATTTTAGTTTTCATGTAATAGTGCCATAATTTTTTTTGTAAAACACCCGATTTCTCTAACTCGATTTCTCTAACTATCTCGTAATTTTTTCTAAATTAGTAAAACATTTTTACTTTGAAAGGGTTTATCTGCCTCTTCTTGTACTCTCAGTTTGGATGGGGTTGATTAGGAAGAAAATAAGGGATTTAAAAGATTATGAGGGAAAAGAAAAGGAAGATTTGAAGAGATTGAGTTATGATGTTGTTTGGATCCAAGCGAGAGAAAAGAAAAGAAAAGAAAAGAATACATTATAACATAAATTTCTTTTTGTGTATTTATAGATAGATGTAAACTAAGGGTATAAGTGAGAAAAAAGAATACATTTATTTGTTGTTACGCAAATCCATTCATATCCTTCATATTTGGAGAGATTTGAAGGGTTTGAAAGTATACATAAAATTAGGGGCGAGCACAAAAGATAGTGAGCTCAAAAGCTCGGATCGGCTTGGACTGAGCCGGCCCATATTCTCGGTCTTGAAAAGGCCCGACCCGAGATTTCTAGCTTTCGTTAATTTTCTTTTTGGGTCGGTCCAAGCCTTTGGGCCTGATATGCTTAGGCCCCAAATGGCCAAACATATAATAGAAGTGATTTTGAGGTCGACAATTTAATAACTAATACATTTTTAATCTTTTAGAAAAAAATACAATGAAAATTCAAGGCAAGTCCGAATTAGTGCAACCTAATTCATTCCAAGCCTTTTTATTTAAACTGGGATCGGGCCATGCCGAAAGAAGCATTAAGGCTCGATCTGCCTGGCCCGACCTCATCCTTACGTAAAATTGATCGAACGCATCTCTCATTATCTCTTAGAATTTCTCCTAATCCTTTCCCTCCATCCAAAAATGGTTGTGCTTCTAGAACCTTTTCTCTTCTCTCCTAATTTTTCCTAGCATATGAAACATTAGGCTCTGTCGGAAGATGATATATTTTGAAGTTTTTGTGAGGAGAGGAGGAAGTTAAGTTCTTTCTCTATAGTCCTCAACTCAAATCATCCAAACGGAGTACTAGGATTCAAAAAGGTTGTCTTTACTTCAGCCCGATTGAACTTGAGCCAACCTTACACGACCCGGAAAATAGTATCGACCTTTTGTCGAACGGCAAGTCTATACAAAACCGGTTAGGCATAACCCTAGGGCCCTGCCTAGCCTGTCCTTACTTAATGATCGATCACCTCTACTATGGAGATGCCAAGGTTGGTTTAACTAACTACATGCCTTAAAAATTATTTTGATTAGGTCCTCTCGAAGGACCACATCATCCTCCACCAAATCAATTGCAATTACAAAATATCGAATCGTAAATTCCAGTTGGACTTGGAATTGATCGACATATCGAAATCGAATGTCCTAAATGGGACAACCTGTCACATGTGAGGGATGAGAGTTGTCCTTTGCATCATACTTTCTAGTAAAAGAAATTTAGTGTTTTAACGCAACTAGCTAGCCAACTTCGCAAGAACAGCTAAAAAGCATTCGAGGAAGTAATTTCCATAAATAAATCGAATGGATTGTCTATGTCACGAAATTTGGTCCAATGTCTTGTCTCTTATCTTAGTTCATACCGTGGACTTTAATGAAACTTTCGGCTCGAATGGTGCACTTTTGATGAAACTTTGCCCTTAAGCCCCTAGGTGGACTCCAGTGAAAAGTTGCTATTGCTAGATCCAATATGCTCCTTAAAGTCGCCGCCCGTGACCATGGTTCAGCATATTCGGAAAAGAAGACATGGAGTGTTATTGAAGAGCCACCTTAGTTTGTTTCATAAGCATATATCTTTATGCGAACCCCCTTTGAGGCGAATATCTATTACTAAGATGGAAAAGACCGACATCCATGCGGAGCCATGCCGCTCAAGTCCTTGATTTCTCCTTTCCGACGAGCAAACCTTTGAATGGGCGTTGGTGGGCGGTTTCTATGCATAGTGTATATGATCGATTCAATATGATTATAGGATGTGTGCATATTCATGATCGCTTGTATTGCATACAAAAAAATGAACGAAATGTATTTTTACCACCCATGAAAAATGTTTAGGCATAAATTGTTACGGATAATAAAACATTTTCCAGTGACTAATTATTTCAAGGAATACAAGCTATTATCATTATAAAAAATCTTTTCCATAGTAATTTTTCACGAAATAAATGAAGCTGTAAAATCATATAAATTTCCAAGTCTTGTAATTCGGTTCTGGATGGTTAGGCTAAGTTAGCTTTAAACTATGTAAATCCTTCTATTAAGTAGTAACATTATTTCTCGATGTTTCCACTAAAAAAAAACTACAATATGGCAATATTCAACATAGCGAATGGACTCCAAATCTAAATCGTGCATGTATTTGAGGAAACACCACCAACAATATATGATGCTACTCGTTGTCCTCGAGTCCACACAATGAATTAGGTTGAGTGATAGAAAGGGATGGACGATAAAGTCAAAGTGTCGAATATCTAAATTCGATCCTATCAACGATGCAAGAAAGTAATTGAAATTCGCACAATACAAGAATTTACGTGGTTCAGCAGGGGAGATGTTCCGCCTACCTACGTCCACGGGGAGAAGAGATCCGTTTCACTAATAACGTAGAAAAGTATACAGCCACTCTTTCTCACCCCCTGCCTCTCTTCTAGAGACCCGTTTCGCCCTAAATATATATAGCGAAACCCTACATGGCACGAATTACAAAAGTTGCCCACATAGCATAAAATATTTAACTTTTCCATATAAATCCTTCTATGACTGGATAACACGATACAAGACATCAACCTCAACACAAAGAAAGGTAATTATGAATGCTGGTGAATTAATTGAGTCTCTAACAGTTGGCTCAACGCATGGCAAGCCAGACGGGGAAGTTGGTGCACAACAATAAGTGATTCCGTTTTCTCCTAGCCTTTCGCTTTTTCCTTAACATTTTAAAGATGATAGAGGGGCCTGTTAAAACCTACCTGAGAAGGTTTCATCGAAGCCTCTTTCTTTTGAAATTTTTTCATATATTAAAGTAAAGGATTAATACCATAAAAACTCCAAATTATGCCTACTATGACATAAATATCCCAAACTATTTTTTGTATCACTAAAAACCTCGAACTTATACTAGTGTAACCAGTATACCCTGGATGGAACTGTAATGGAGGATATATATGTCACATATGTATAAGTTTGGATTTTTTTGTGGCATAAAAAAAGTTGGGGGTATTCATTTCACAGTGGGCAAGTTTAAGGTTTTTAGTGACACAAAAAAGTTGGGGATATTTATATCATAATGCGTATAGTTTGGAGTTTTTTATGATATTTGCCCATAAGTTAATATTTAATGTTTACATATCAAGTGATGCAACAAGCTGTTATTTAAATAAATATGCCACACTTGTTTGAATGGACATGCACTTTTATCACATCGTTTAACATACCAATTTTATGAGTCTATCTTAGTATACCTAACATGTTTTTTGCGTCAAACAGGCAAAGAAGATAGAACTAGGGACCAAAATAATTTGTAAAATTTGTTTTCCCCCACTTTCAATCTTCTATTTTTGTGGAATTTGTTCAATGCATTAGTTTCATTTACCCAAATTTAGTTTTGTTATAATTTTGGATCAAATGAATATAACAAGAAAAAATGCTCCGAAATCTACCCCTAAGAACCCAAAAGAAACGCAAGAATCATTTTTAACTTTTCTATACTTTAACTCTTACAAACAAGAGAGTACTACAAGAGAGAGGGAAGGTCGGAATGTTTCACATTCAAATTCTTCCGTACCCTTCATGGCTGAAAAGTGGAGTTTTATGGCATTAGTATTAAACATGAGAGATGCAGAAGGATTTATACAACTGGTTTGAAGTAATATCGTTAGTGTGTTTGTGTTAGGAATAAGGGAATGGGATGATTATTATCTCGGAGGATCTCTAAAGGCAGGGTTGGCCTCCTGTGCGTAAATTGGTCACGATAGGCTAAAACCAATTATTGTATTGATATGATTTGTATGGCTTACTCAAGGTGCTCAAGGTCCGAGCTAAATTAGGTGTGATATGACCAATGATGAGGATGTGGCTTGCCATATTATCCTCGGAAACAATGCACCAAGAAAAGGGCGGCCTGGTGTTTCAGTTCATCAGGCACCGCACGAGCTTCTCCTTGGCTAGTAAAGTTTCTCCCCAAAACAAATGGCACCATAGCAAGTTTCCCAAACTGTATTAGTGAATGCCAAGAATAGGTTTATTGCCATGTTTTCAATAAGAAGAGAAAAGATATGTTGGTTTGCTAAAGAAAGTGCTGCCGAGGGAGTGCAATTGCTCAGGATGCCACACTTGGTAGGCAAAACACAAGTGACTAGAGATTAGTGAACAACTTTAATCGGGAGAAGCCACCCATGAAGTGGAGTAGCATGTTCTATTGGACGAGTGTTTGCCAATCATGTCCATGGGAGTGGTAGTGATAGTTGAAGAATGTAAGGAAGGGATAGAATAGCCAAGGACATGCGAAAATTGGGGAGGGGAGAGTGTCAAATTCCAATTTCTCCCATATCTATCCCGACAGAACAATGAAGGTTTATGGCATCATGACCAAGTGTGAGAGATGCTAAAGGGTTCATGTTGCTGAATCGTTGGAGTAACATCAATGTGTATTTTCTAAGAACTGGGAATGTGATGATTATCATTTCAGAGGATCTCTGAGGCGGGGTTGGTCTCTTGCATGCAAATTGGACTTGAGCTCTCGTCACTCTACTGATGATAGCCATGATATGTTGAAATTAATTATTGTACTAAAATGATCTATATGTCTTACTCGGAGAACTAGATGTCAAAGTTAATTGGGCGTGGTATAGCCAGTAATGAAGATACGATTCACCAAGGAACGATCTATCAAGGAAAGGTTTGCCTGATGTTCCAACTTATCAGGCACTGCAAGGGCTTGTCCTTGGAGGAAAGTTTTCAGCTCACGTCATGTGCACATGCTTCCACACCAAGATGGACGGGAGAAATTTTATGCGATTTTGAATTCGTATCGAGACTAATCCATCTCAAACCCTTTGCTATTAGTCCAAATCCATGAAATCCCATGCCAAACTTGTCCCAAGCTTGAGACAAGTTTTATCAATGGGGCAAGAAACTCGTCCTAACCACGACATGTAAGAATTCGAAGTCCGGCGAACCCTTTTGGTTGGGGTTATCCAATTTTCCCAATTGAGCATGAATGCTTTCGATAAGTTACGCATGTTAACACGAAATAAATGGTAACGCTATCTAAATAACTTACTGTTTCCAAAATCAAACATTATAATAACTTAATATGATAGTATTTGCCGTATTTGGTAATGTAACAATTTTTGAATTTCGGGGTTTAAGGATCCGCTGTAAATTTCTGCCAAAGATAAGAGAGACAGGCGCGCCGGCCACAGATGAAGCTGGCCAATGGCGCGAAGCGTTCTTCGCTTTGGAGCGCCAAAACCGCAGCTTCGTTGGCATTGGAGGCGAGCGGTGGTGGGGCCCCGCTGTCCGGGCCAACCACCATTCCAAGAACGTCACGTACGTATGGCTTCGCCGCGAAGGAAAGTGCCACGAAGCTCGCTTTTATTACCATCGCCCTATCGCCCCATGACACCACTCGCTTTTTAACGCCCCCAGAGATTTGAAGCGAGAGATAGATATAGAGAGAGAGACAGAGAGAGATTTCTTTCTGTTCTTCTTGCTTCTGGGTTAAGCAACAGAAGCCGATAGGAATGGCGGCGGCGGCAGCGGCGGCGGCGGTTCTCGTCCTGGTCAGCCTCAACGCGAGGTGGGTCGGAGCTCAGGTGCACCACGTGGTCGGCGGCGACCGCGGCTGGGACGCCTCGAGCGCCGTCGGTTCCTGGTCCTCCGGCAGGGTCTTCAGGGTCGGAGACAAGCTCTGTACGTAACCCTCAAACCGCTCTTTCTTCTCCTCCTCCTTTTACTTTTTCCAGAATCCGGAAGAGAGAAAAAGTTAACGATAGCCAAAATATTCCGAGTGTCTCAAAGCATTACCCAATCCCAAAGTGTTCGTTCACGTGTTGGCATTTCCGACTGTTCTTCTTTATCGTATTCTGCTGGCTTTCTGACTCATTATGCCGAAAGTGGAATGTGGGTATTTGGTGGGAGGTTTAGTTAGCAAATCTCGTCTTTCCTGATTTAATCGGAAGAACACAAGCAGGTTTTGACATATCATGTGCGTCTGCAGACCGCTTATCTATGAATGTTTGCTCTGTGTTCTGACTCTCCTGGGAATGAAGAATGCCTAGTCTTCTGTAATCATCGTTTATACAAATCGTTTATGTTTTCTTATTATACAATCAAGATATTATTATATTCACAGACAGTTCATGTACCATTAATCCTGTCGAGAAAAGCTACTTATAATAAGCGGCTATGGGGTCTTGGAATTTGGGTTCGCTTCTTTATTGGGTTAGATAGATAAGTAAATAAGCAGTAAAAGAAAGAGAGATGAAAGGGGGTTAACTTGGGCAGGGTTCGCTTACTCGGCGGCGCAGGAGAGCATCGTGGAGCTCATGACCCGGGACGAGTACGAGTCGTGCGACGTGAGCAACCCGATCAGGATGTACACCGACGGCCTCGACAGCGTCCCCCTGGAGGACCATGGCATCCGCTACTTTGCGAGCAGCCGGGAGGAAAGCTGCAAGAGCGGCCTGAAGCTCCATGTGGAGGTCCAGCCGCAGGGAGCCCCTGATGCCCCCAAGATAGCCACCTCCGAGGAGGCCGTGCTCGCCGCAGCCGACGGGCCCGTGACGCCGTCTGCAGCCGATCGCATCGGCGGGATCGCCGCGCTGGCGTCCGCCGGATTGTGGCTCTTTGTTTTGGGGCTATTTTAGTATGTTTGGAAGGATGTTTTCGTCTGGCCCAAGGTATCTCATTGTCTGGACTGAATCATGTAAGACCAAGCCTTATCGATTTGGGCCATTTTGGGTTTTTCAGCTTGTGAAGGTCTTTAGGACAATTGCTGTTTCTCTTCTGTATTCATTTCCTTATTCCATGGAATGGTGTAGTTTGTAGTAGTATCGTTAGTACCTTAGTATTTGTATAGTGATACATGGGATCCAAAGACTCTTTCGCTAATAAGAAGAGGCGGGCATATGACAACATGTTGGTTCCGAGAGATTAATCCGATTCCATTTACAACTTTGCGTGCAAATCTCATATTGAGCAATGAGAAATTTGTTTTCGCAAGTTTCAAGTATTAGAATAATTAAATATTAAACAACGTCGTCATATAACAGTTTAAGCTTTTAGAACAGTTGGCTGTGGTCACATAAAATTTCACATGTTATTAGAGCTGAAAGTCCTGAGTTCGAATCTTTTCAAGCCTCATTTGTCTCCTCAATTAAATATGTCAACGTTTAGTATCAGGCAAAAAGACCAGACCAAACGTGAGGGAAAGTGTTAAAATAATTAAATATTAAACAACGCCTTTATCTAACAGTTTAAGCTTTTAGAACAGTTGACTGCAGTCCTACAAAATCTCACATCAAGTATATCACGTCAGTAGATAACATGTAAATTCATTACAAACATGGGAGTTCCATCGCTTATGGAAATCTCATCCATCGATATATCATGTAGATCTTGTATGGAGTCAAGTGTTTTGTCCAAGGTTATTTTTTAATGAAGAGCATTGCAACATTTTTGCTGTGTTTTCCGTTTTGGGCCTTTATAATTAGGCCATTCACTGAAACATCCTTATCAAGCAAGTGGGAATCGGGACTTGTCTACTCATTGAACTCGTATGCAACCTTCTTAGCTGCACTTTGCTCGCGTGGCAGAGTTATCGTCCTCGGACAGCTCCTGTCTAACTCAGGCCGATTATGCCACTCGAATATTCTTCCTCGAGCGGCCGAAAGTGACAAGATTGGCGGTAACACTAGCTCGAAACTACTGCTGTAACTTTACTTTTATGGATGATGTTTCGCTACAAGACGCTATGCTCCATCTCCACTCCATAGTCAGCTTGTTGGGAGCTAATATCTTCTTCTTCTTCTTTTTCGCTAAAACAAATCGTCCATTCCATGAAAAACCATAGAAATATTACAAAGAGGAACCCGAGGCCACATTAAAATAATAACTCAAAGCAGACTCCGTGACACATTTTTTGAACTCCAGACGAGAGATTAGTAAATAGACAAGAAGATGCAGTCTTTATATGATGAAAAGCCCAATTTGCAAGCTTATGAGTAGCACCATTATTAATTGAAGGATTTATTTAGGCGTGATATCACTTTCTTCGATTTATTTGCCCACAATTGTTGCTAATGGTCAAAAAATCCTCCAGGATACAACAAAATCTCAAAATGAGAATACTAGATAGCAATTCTAAAGTATTTCTCAAGTCTCTCTAGGAAACAAAGAAAATGATGATCGTAGTTTTCGAAAGAAGACTTGAAGAAATTGATCTCTCTTTTCTTTCTTGCAAAACCGACATATATAAATCGGTCTTAAAGAACATTGGCAACTCTTCACGAAAGGTTGCAAAGCTAACAAAGATATTCCGGAAGAAGTTTGCAAACCGAATATATACAACCCTTCGGAAAAGATTGAAAAGCGAACAAGTATAATCTTCAAAAGTTGTCTTGGAAAGACACATGTAAAATTCGGAATAAAATAAATAAATAAATAAATATATAATTCCGAATTTTCATAATTTCGAAAATTACTTAATAAACAAAAAACAACCTTTCAAATAATAAAAAATTAATAAGACAACCTTACGAAATAAGATAAAAATATAAAGGGATTAGTGCTAATTAAACCGCGCACTGCAAGCAAGTGCAAAGTGCTAAGTGCGCCTAATAATCGCGCAATTATTCGCTACAAGATTCGCACGCGGTATTGTGTGGACTAAGCACACACCCCATTAAGATCTATTGGTTCACTTCAGAATCCATCTTGGGTTGTTGCTAAGTAGGAGCGAGGATATGAGACGGAAGGATGAATACTCCGAGGACAAAGACTCTTGTGTTGAATAGTATCAATTAAAACCTTGCAATCACTTTAATAAACAGCCTTATGAATGTTGAGGGACCGAGTAGCTTTGCAGGCAAGAAGAAAAGCTGTAGCTGCCACTTCCATTGGCGAGTTTCGTCTTTTCATATTGTCCACGCTTGGACAATACTTATGGTCATTTATTATCCTTTCACGTGCCATCTATATTAAACTTCAACTCTTGATTAGATGGAGAAATTTGGGAGTTTGACCTTACCACAAGAGAATCTGCTTCCTCACTTAGCTCAACTTTGTTCCCTTCTCGAACATATTCTAATGTTCCATGAAATATTATATGACTAGCTTAACCATCCAGGAAGGATTTGGAATAGTCTGATCATGTAACTTTTCATTCCTATAACACCACATTCTAAAACAAAGAATTCATGCATAAAGAGTGAAGAGTCTACAATCCAAACCCACTCTCTGTGCTATCTTTCCTAGATGAAGAAAATGTTTCACCATCTTCTTCGCTGACCTAAAGTTCCAAGCAAATGAGTTGATACCCCATGGGCTCTATCTCCAACCAAAGGACATGTTGTGAACAAATGTATCGAATTTTCCACACAACGAACAAGAAGGGTCCGGGATATAAAGTAATTAGAACAAGTTAGCTCAACAAGGCAAGACATTAGCTGCTATCCTCCACAACATCATTTTGTTCTGCTTGTGAGCTTGAGCTTTCCATATTTTGTTTCAAATCCCAAAGTTGTTGCCATTTTTGTTTGTGACTTGATGAGTTCGTAAGCGGATTTAACCAAAAATATTCCATCAGTAGATAGCTGCCAAATCAGTTTGTCTGCTCTAATGGAGTTTGGATCATGAATTTGAAGAATTACCTAGAATGAGATTGGGCCAAACATCTAAGTTAGACTAATTACTCCTAAGTTGTTGTCCTTGGAATAAACAACTTTCTATCTTTCTTTGCTTCAAAAGAGAGTTTGGATCAATAGAGGAAAGTAACTGAGTTGTGACATTAGGAATCCAAGGGTGATTACCAACTTCAATTGACATTCCATCGCCAATCCGATACTGAGTTCTTAGCTTCTTGAATATTTCTCTGGCATCCATGATTGCCTTCCAAAATTAAGAGGTTGATGCCTTGACCTTATGATTCCAAAAATTTGAGCCCCGGTGATATTTCCTTTCGAGGACTCGAACCCATAACTTACCTCTATCTTTGATCATTCCCCAACCTATCTTGTTGAGGCATCGAGTTGGTTACAAGTTCTTCGTGGTAGTCGATTAGATTGCATAGCATAGATCGGTAATGCTCTAAACAACTGATCAAATCTTTACCCACCTGTGGGCTCTGACCTGGGCCCGTGGGCTTTGTGGGCTGTTTTAGAGGACTGCAGGGAGAGGCTCTCATGATCTACTCACTTTAAAGTTGTTTAAAGCCAACGTTAGACGTCTAATCCGTCCTGACCATTATGAGAACTTTTATGCTCAAAAACTCAAAGCCTTAGTTATCCTTTTAATGTTTGATAAATGAAGTTATTTTTCTCAACAAAAAAAAAATCTTTACCCGCCCAATATATAATGCTTCAAGATTTGTCTCTCACATGTGGAGCTTGTCCATACAGAACTTTTTCATGCCCCTAGAAGTAATTTTAAAGAAAAAGACAGACAATTTCTGTCGATTCAAGCTCTGACTTGACTACGAGCAATAAATTTCAATGCATTCCTTCAATGCTCTCACTTGATGCTTAGTAACAAGTCATTGATTACATAAGGTTTGTTAAAAGATGAACTTTCCTGCCCTGCTCTTGTTCCTCCTATCATCTTGAGATCCTTTGCCCTAGATAGAAAACATGGGAATTGTGTCACTTATGGAAATTACGTCCATCGGTATTTCATGTAGATCTTGTACATAGTCAAGTGTTTAGTCTAAGGTTGTTATTTCCCAGCAAAGAACATTGCAACATATTTTCTATCTTGTCGGTTTAGGTAGGCCATTCACTGTAACAATCTTATCAAGCAAATGGGAATTGGGAATTGTCTTCCTTCTTGAGTTGGGATAATGGCACAAACGATTTCTGAATTTAGTCCTTGAATTTTTAGTTTGTTCAATGTAATTCTTGAACTTTAGCCTAATGTTCAATGTAGTTCCTGAACTTTTGATTTGTTCAATATGGTCGGTGGACTTTTGGTATATGTTCAATGTAGTCCATGAACTAAAAGACCAAATTAAATATGTACCAAAAGTCCAGTAACAATATTGAACAAATCAAAAGTTCAGGGACCACATTGTACATTGGGTTAAAATTTAGGGACTGCATTGAACAAATTAAAAATTTGAGGATCACATTGTACATTTTGACAAAGTTCGGGAATTGCTCGAGTCATTTTCCCTCTTGAGTTTGTATGCAACCCTCTTAGCTACACTTGCTCACGTGGCGAAGTTATCATCCTCGGATGGCTACTGCCTTAACTCAGGCCTATTATGCCACTCGAATATTCTCTCTCAGGCGGAGATATAACACTCCTTGAACCTATTGCTAAACTTTACTTCCATGGATGATATATTACTGCCAGACCCTACACCCCATCTATACTCCAAAGTCAGCTTGTTGGGAGCTAATTAGTATGTCTTACTTCTGCTTTTCATGATGTAAAAAGCACGTCATTCACATCAATGAGTTAGTTTATGATTGCTCCAGAATCTACTCGTCCATCGAATTGTGTTCTTTATTACTAATGACCTTTTTGATTTTTCCCATAATCTATTAAACTATGGGTGATAGATTTTAGGGTGGGTAGGTAATAGAACTTAACCCGTCAAAGCAAATTCCTTGTTTTTTGAACCCGAAACCGACCTACCCTTTTTTTCTATTTAATTTTTTTATGTGATTGCCGCGTCATATACGATATTTTTGCACAAGTTCTTAAATTGGACACCATAATAGCCTACTCACATTGGAATGCTCAACCCCGTTAGTTGAGAGACTTACAGGGTTTGGTTTTGAACTGATTTGAAACTATCGGGAACTTAACAGGCCAAGGCTGATTTACAAATTTTTTACCTAGGAACCAAACTGGTCCCCATGTGAATCGTTGGGGAAATGGTTAGATAAGGTCGGTTTGGTTTGGTTCGGTTCCTA